TTCGTAGTTTTAAAAATTCATCTAAAATATAAACTTCACAAATCATTAAAGACAATATTGTGTTCACCTTTTGTTTACCAAATTTATAATAACGTTTTTACTTTATATGCCGCTTGCCTGAGTACACATATGTTTACTATCATGTCCAGCAACTCAATCAAAAAAAAACAAAAATATATTCAACAATACACCTATTCGTGTACTGGTATACACATAAAACATAACTGTTATAAATGCATGCATTTAACGTGCACTTAGGCTTTTTTTGTGCTAATATTTCTGTTTTGCTTTTCCTTTTACTTTCCCTTTTCGTCTCTATTTGCACCCGTTGTTCAAAACAATTGGGGGTTAAGGTGAAACAAAGAATCTGCTGAAATAACACGAAAAACTTTTTAAGTTCTATTGTTTCATAAATGATGCCTAAAAGCATACAAGCTTTTGTAATAAAAAAAAGTAGAAAACACATAACTAAAATGAAACACGAAACTATGCTTTTAATTCTCCTTTGTTCCCCGTCTTTCGAAAAACTTCGGTAGTCGAACTCTTTGTTTTTGTCTGCTTTTCGCTTTAAACAATAAAAAGCGAAATATATAAATGATTTTGTTAAAGTGTTTATTTAAAGGCAAACGTATACGTAGTTCTTCCATCGTTCCATTATCAAAAATTTTATGTTTTCAAATAATAATAATTTATAATATGAATACATTCGTGAAATTGTAATTTAAATTTTTCTTTACCCACCACTGAAGCAGGGGAGTGTCCTTATTTTGACATTATGTTTATAACACCCGCAAGAAAGCTTCAGACACCTAAATTTAGTAGAAACATTAGAAGCTTTTGCACGCAAATCGTCCGAATAGATCAGAGCATTTGTCCCAGCGAAGCGTGGACTGAACGCAATTCTGTTTTTCTAAACAAAAATTTTGTCGATTTTTGCTCACTATTCAAAAATTATAGATGAAGATAGATAGAAGGCTGAAATTTTTAACATTTATTGTACGAAAAACATAAATGTGAAAAATTTATGTGTAAAAATAGAAAAAATCGACTATGCCGCCACAACTTACAAGCGATTAAATTTTCTGTTTTTTACTTTGTTGAAGTTTTGTGGTTATTAATCATAAGCTAAACAAGATAGAACGTTTAAAATGGAAATATGTTGCCTGCCTAAAAACATGTTAATTCTAAAGCAAAAATGATGGACACCACGACATGGTGGATACGTTGTTTTTTAAAAATGCCGTCGGCATAGGTATCAGATAAAAGGGTTTGGAGATTATAAAGCGAAAACCTAGAAGTGTTAATTCCAAATGAATTATGGTGGACGCCCCGACGTGACAGATTAATTTTTCTTAACAACACCATTCAATGGAGTAAAAGGTGAAAGATAAATTTTATCTCATTCATTTGTTTATGACCATAAATAAAAATATGGGACGCCAAAAATTTTAAAGATAGTGAATATTAGAGTTTCGCCCTCAGATGAATTAAACTTTTTTAATTTTTTACATTAAAATTCATTTTGGGAGAAAGCAAAACATTACTCTGATTTTAAACCTCAGAGACATTTTTTCGATCGTTTAATTTATCACAAGTAAGCATTCTATAGAGAAACACTAACTTAACTCGATGGCAATTTCATGGGATTCGGACGTTGTTCACGTAATATTTTGGGATTTATATTTTAAGCTTCTAAAAACCTAGTGAATACTTTTCCAGTTTCTGCCCTTTTATTATTTTGCAATTTTTACCATCTAAAGAGCACATAGACGCACGATATATTTTTCTATGATATGGATCCAGGTCTGTTGTATATAAAATGTCTCGATTGCGTACACTGCTCCTTCCAGTAATATATAACTAACTAACAAATAAAAAGTTAGCTATTAGAACGACAATAAACTAGATTTGTTTTCCTATGTCTTAACGCCTTATTTTGAAATCGTTACAAAAGGCATAGTGCGCTCACTTATGATATCTGTATATTTACGTTTACTTGGAGTTTTGGCGCAAGACTGTGAAATTTGATCTATTCTATCCCTATTGATAATATCTCCCCTATTGATAAAAATTCCCAACGAAGTAAAGAAGGCATTAAGCAATTTGACTGATCTGTTGTGAGTCGAACTATTTTTCTGAGTTAAGCTATTTAACTATAGATTTAAACCGAAAGCTTTCTGTTGAATAACAAAAGCGCTGAAACTCTTTCGGTAGAATACACGATTTACACCGTAAAGTAGTATCCATTAGCATGTGACATATAAGCGATGCGCTGTTTTTTTTTCTATTTGATACCTCACTCCCGCATTGAACAGTGAAGGATGAAAATCGACTAATTTTTGTTTGCAAAGTCAGACGTTTCATCAGGCTTAAACTACTAAAAGCAGACCACGCTTTTCTGCTTGCACTGAACGCAGAATAACTTGATCTTTCTCAATCGACTCAGTCACGCAGTTGATCTGATTTTTGCACCTGAAAGTCTTAAATTATTGCTGTTTAAGGTATGGCGCAAAAAAGAATTTCTTTTGAATAATTCTGGCAATGAAAAAATGCTGTCGATGAATGCTCTTTATTTGGCACAGAAGTCTATATTTTCGCGCTGCGATATATGCTGGTATTACGATTCATTATTGTTGCCAGTGATGTTAGATTTGTATGTGCTCGAAACTTGTTCTTGAGGCTCCTATAGGCAAACTCTTACTCCACATTTACATTCTTGATACAACGAAAGCATTATACAAATTCTAGATTTTGTAAAATTACCCAATGACGAATTTCTTTTATACTTATACCTGCTAGCATACAAATTCAAGTCATTGAAAAGAAATTTAATGACTCCAACCTTATTCTGATGTTAGACATTATTATTCGTCTGCGTACTTTTTTGGAAAACATTTGCCCTAAATCAATTATTAGCAATATCAACAAAAATCGAGTACTTTGTCAGTAGAATATGATTGTTGAATTTTTGATACCGTTTCGTCGCCACATGCCTTTAACAAATAAAGACAGTTACTCATATAACGAATTTTCAAAATAAGGCGGATGATGCAATTCGACTTATTTTCAATCGCGGTCTGTAACAATACCGTTGGTTAAAAATGTTGTGATCGCATGTTGACGTTGGATGCTACTTTTGTGTTTAATATTATTATTTGCGTTTATACTACTTATCTCCCTAAAAACTATGAACTGTATTAAATTTAGGGCTACTCGAGAGCGTCGCTTTACGAGAATAGAAGGCTGACAAGACCAAGCTATGTGCCTTTGTTCAGCTAGCTAGCTCGTTAAACGTGGAGGAGTTTTATATTTTGGCTCTCAGACACTCCTCAGGCATTTGCGCCTAAAACAATAGCACTTACTTACCCTTTAACGAACACAACGAACGAAACTTAACCTACCATATGCGCGTACTCCAAGCCTTGGTCATTTTACTACCCGACATACCCAATGGTCTTGTTCGACCCATATTGTCCTTGAGAGGCCTGGAAGTTTGGTCCTAAGACCCTTCTAATCGGCATTTTTTTGTTTGTTTCTTAACATTCTTGTTTCATCTTTTCACAATTATTAATTAATTACTATATAAAAAAAATAATATCCTTTCTAATCATATATATGCGAACAGAAAATGATGACAGCTTAACGCTTATAATAACAAAAAGAATCTGTTTGTCTGCTGTGTTTGTCACAATAAAATCTTCGACTAAAAAAGAAAAATCTGTAAAGCCATCCAATTCAAGTCATCCAGATACAGTTAAAAATTGTAGCGTTGTTATATATACCCCAGATGCTGTTATTACACACGGTAGCCGTTGTTATTATACATTATAACTGCTGTTATTATGTATTATAACGGCCTTAACGAAAACGCCAAACAAGGAGAGAATATCTTTGTGCTGGCTATTCATCATCATTCAATCTCGAAAAATCTCTCTTTAACTCTATACGACAAAGCAATAAAATATCTTTTGGTTTTTAATCAATTACTCATGTTTTCCTTTATATCCTAAATCGATGTGTCTTTTATCGATAATTATTCGGGTGCGTTATTTATTACAAAATGACCGCACCTTCAAACTGAAAAAAAATGTCCCATATGGTTTTGATGTTTAACCAAAACGTGAGTACAACAATTTGATTTGACAAACTTTTATGCTTTCGTATTTTCGTTGCATCATGATCAGACACAAATAATTACTTTTTTTTAGTTTTGTGAAATCATGAACACGATAAACGGCACATATTTACAAAGAATATTACAATTTGGTTTTTTTTTTTTACTTATATTCGTTGTAGACGAATGTTTTTTTGATAAAATAACTTTAGCGAATAAAGATAGGAAGTCCTAGCGGTCCATTGTACTTTTTCTTCGGTTATTGTTATTATTGTAAAGCATGAAATAATTCCAACATTTTCCTCCTTTGTTTCTGGCACTTGATCATTGTATTTCATTCGTTACTTTAATAATTTTTGTTGTTTCACGACCACTTAAATTTTATGAAGTCCTTTTTTTTCATTTTACGACGGTCAGATGAGTCATCTTGCTTTTTTCCGATTCCTCTCACGAATTTTTTTTTTGGCAAAAATTAATGAATAACTCTAAAGAAAAAGTGGCATTAAAAGTTTGCTCTCATTTTTTTTGTATAATTTCAAAATTGCAAATTGCTAACACGTAGGTAATCTTTTTTAGCACTGTTTAACACTATTTCTCACTGTCAACTTCCTTTGTGCGCGAACTTAACAAAATATGTAATGAGGCAAATATAAATTGTTAAATCAAAACCACACACTACAGTATTTACAAAACACGTCGGTGTATCAATTTGCATCAAAATAACTTGTATAAAAATATTAACAATTTCGCAAGATTATTACAAAATAAAATTGTAAAATTTGTTGAAGGGGATAAATATTTAAAGCATATTTTAAAACAATTAAAAAATATTAAATGAGGGATTTCGCTGCAATACTTTCACTCGTTTTCTTTGTATTTATTACAGGCTCAAGATGATTTAGAGAAAGATCATGATTTTTCTGGCTCAGGCTTTGGCCCCGACGATGAAGATTCAGATGATGAATACCATCACCACCATCATACACATATTCATCAGCAAACGGGTAAATCGAATATAAATAATCTAAATAATAAACAGCAAACTGGTGACAACAAGTTCATCATCACCAATAGTAGAAACAATAATAATAATAATTTAATAAATCAATTCAACAATAATAATAATAACAACATTATTCACCAAACGAACAGTGGAACAACATTCATTGGTAGCGGCAATACTGCTAGTGGCAGTACCGGCCTCATCGGCGCTACCAGCCATAATAATCTCGGTAACAAAACTATCGATATGATAAACCTGCTTTCTGTTACCTTGTTTTTTTTTTAATTTTCGACTTCATTTTTCTACTTGTTTTATTACTTTTTTATTGTTGTTTTTCTTTTTATTTAAAAAAAAAATTTTTTTTCATCATTATCCTTAAAAAATGAATACAAAAAATTTCTCATCTCATTTTATCAGAAGCTATTAATCGTAATAAAACTATTACAAATTTTATCCTGATCACAACTCCTAACGAAACCACTTTCACAACTGCCACCAATACTAATTCTATCCTAACAACGTCAACGTTACAAACACCTACACAAACACAATACCAATACACTACTACCCATATTATTCCCTTCTCCCCAGACAACAATAACAACCAGGATACGTTGAAACCTTCTTATCCATCGCCGTCCCATAGTGATGATGAAGATTTCGATTTGGAAGAAGGTATTTCTGTGGAAGGTGAGGAGAACGAATCATTGCCAACCGGAAGTGGAGATGACGGACTTCTCGGTCGAGATAACGACGATAACGATCGAAGTGATGATGACGGAGATGATGCTGATGAGGAAGAAAATGTCTTTAACATGCCTCGCCATCGTGGTTTATCGACATCGTCATCCAAACCTCACCCAGAAGAACACAAACCTAAAACTGAGGGCAATGTTGAAATCGATTTAGATGTCGATCAATCCATTGATGGACCAAATGATAATGAAGATAATCTATCTTCTAGTAAAGAAGAAGATAGCAGCGAAATCTTCACCGATAGCAGTTCGTCATCATCAGTAGGCTCATCATCTTCCACCGCAACCTCAACAGTCATCGCTCAGAAACGACGTCAGTGCATTTCAGTCTTTCTTTTCCTTATCTTATGTTTTAATTTATGTATAATTTTATAGTAATGCTTCTGTCTTTTAAATTGTAGTAGTTGCTGTTGTTCTTGTTGGCTTGTCCTTAGTTATTTCAATTTTAATGCTTTGTAGTCAATTCCTTCTGATACGTTGCAATTCGTTTGCGTTTGTCCTTAAATCTAATATGTTCATAAATAGCATCCAAGTTTAATAATTCAAACACTGAATCGGAAATTTTTAAGTACTTAAACTACACATGTTCTTTGCTCGAAGATTCCATTAGAACAATCAAAGACAAATTCGATTACAAATGAATTGACAGACCGTGCAAAGTTCGCTCCGATTCTTGTAACTATATTGGTAACTAGCATCAGCTTCCGCTGCTGGCAAATGCCTCTTCATATAACAATAAATTACTTGGTTTCGCCTTTATTTTTATATGTTAAATGGAACTTACTCGTGCCTCTCGCACCTTGTGTACCTTCTGTGGTACATATATTATGTACTGAAACAGTGATTAAAAGTGGAGCAACTGGAACTATCTGTACCGTATTATTTGGAATTAATTCATTCAGCTAAAAATAGGACTATAATGATCCCATGCCCTGATGACTGCATTTCCTTTGGTCTGAGTTCAATGGTTACTATACAAATTTTTCTTGGATCCTATTTAACTGTGTGCTCTATGTTTAGTTGTTCTTTCTTTTTGTACAAAAGTTTTTGTCGGCATGATTTTTATGAAAATGCATTTGTGTTTATGATTTGTTCCTCATCTTTTCCTCATCAGTTCATCTTTTATGTCTTATTAATTTAATTATTTTTTTCTATCCCTGACTAATAAAAAAATATAATTAGTTTTTAAAAAATATTGCATTAAAAATTCAAATACTTTTAAAATACAAACACATGCACACTGACCCGTTGATATCACATAGAAAGAAAACTTAATAAATCACCAAAAGATGGACAACGTGAAACAATCAAATATTAGCAATATTTTAACTTTTTAATTAATCCATAATTAATTGGTAATTTTATTTTTTCTTTGTAATTTTTGTGGTATAAATAATTTATAATATTAATCAACAACATGTTCATACGATAATCGCTCTAATTTTATCAGAAATTTGCAATAATTTGGGTTTGGGTGCTCAACGGGTTATTTATTATGTAAAATAATCATAACATATTTTCTTTTGATGATAAAAACCATCTCTCATTTACCTGTACGGCGAATTTTCTTTCTTCAGTCGGCTGTGGAAAAATTCTGATTTCAGTTTGCTAATGGATAGGCATATAAGTTTTTGATTGTGACACTTTGATTTTCCTAGAATAATAGGAATTCATTCAATGTAGAAAAAGAAAACGATCCGAGCCATATTCAAAAATCCGCAACACAATTAATAGAACAAACGTTTGATATGTTTGATGTCGCGATTTCGAAACTTCTTAACGTAAGACGTTGCGCACTAGTAATCTTTTGGATATACACGTTTCTTCCATTGTTTAGCTGTTACTTTTATTTTTATGAGGAAATTTTGCGTCCAGAAAACAAAGCACAAGCAAACGCGTACTTTAGCCTTTAGGCTAAAGTATCGAAATAAATGTCGCAGAAATTATGCAATAAAAACAGTGACTTTCGTGAAGGTAAAGCCATTGAAAAACAATTTTATATAACTTATATAATTTTATATAAATGCAATTTTTTATCTTAATTTAATCTTGTATTGTCGCCTTGAGCATATGGGTATCGAGTCGTCGTCTTAGGGTGATCAAAAAGGACGTTGAAAGTTTTTAAATGCCTACTGTTGTATATCTGGATGCCACTAGCAGGAATAGAAAAATTAGCATATGTTCTTTGTTAGTTCGTGAGTATATGCTACGAAATATCTTGCATCATCCAGCGTCTTTCGCTTATATTCAGATATTCGGATTTTACTCGCATTTCATTCTAAAATTATTAAAATGTGTTTATAAAAACCATCTCAAAGCATATATAAGTAAATAAGTTTATATATCTAAGTGTATATATATATATATGTAGTTGTTACGCAAGGACAGATAGATTTTAGTATTCGTGCTTCATGAATTTCAAACTCGTCTAGATTTTGGAAAATATCCTTATTTATAGCTTCGTTAATAATAAATAAAAATAGAGATGTAAAAAGCTTATTTTGGCACAGGGCAATACAATTGTACGAACCGGCCCATACATTCTTTTTAACACACAGAAACGACGTTAGAAGTCCTCTAAAAAAAACGTACGAATATAATCATGGTATGATTTTAAACTAGCCAGCTTAACTACATTCACCGCTCTGCGCTTTCTTACAGTTTTCAATCGATTTAAAACAAAATACTTTTTACTATTCGTTTTTTCCTGTTTAATTTTTTTGTGTTTTATATAGAATATACGACTCATGAAACTGTCCACTTCACTAAGTAGACTCACTAAATCAGGGTGCTCCAAATTACAAATTTTTAACGGCAATCTTTGAACGCAATGGTCACCAAACTTTTATTTATTTTATCAACATATAAACCAGGAAAATTCTTTTGCCGTGGCCATGCTGGACGGATTTTTAATTTACGTATAGAGACTTGTACTTAAAACAAAGAAATAAAAACAAAATTTTTGATTAAAAGTTTAGGTGCAAGCGCTACCTTTCGTGTCTCCCGCGTGTCTAATTGCTTATCTGCCACTCTTTATAACGTTACAGGTTATTAATAAAACTAATACTCTCCTAAATTGCAATACGTTTCTCATTAAAAACGATGTATGAGAAAAAGCTGGGATAGTACTTCCCAGTTTTTGCACGCACTACATGATGTGCAAGCACAAATATTTAATTAAAACTTTTGCTGACGTCAGTAATTTTCTAAATCAGACAAATTTGATTTGAACTTTAGCGAACAATTCCTATGTAGTCAATTTTATGTTCTTTCACTCATCCCTCCCCACTGTTGTGAACGAAGTTACGCTTTTAACTAGCACAACACTCCATTGCACACTGATTTACTGCAAGCAGAAAGTTGGATGTGCAGATAAGTTGTGATAAAAATCATTTTCAGCAAAATCAGCTAAAAGTTTATTTTTGTTTTCTTATTGTTCCATAATTTTCTTTAAGAGCATAGAATATTCGCATATGACTATAAAAATCTTTATGGATCACGCTTTAATCCCTATTAAATGCAAGTTGTTTTGCCCGATATTTTCACTAAAAGAGAAATTGCTGGTGTAGATAAATTGTAAAATAATTTCGTCGTTATCATTATTCCATAAACGTTGTTATAAAATGTAATTGAACAATTTATACTTTCTCTGTTGACTCACTTACGGACGTAAAGCACATGAACTAATTGACTTTTCAAATTGTCAGGGATCAAGCGGAACTCTGTAAACAGCACAATAAGAAATGCGTCGAGAGGGCGTGTCAGCATTAAACTCCTGGAAAGAAAAAGTGCCTCTAAATATCTTCCTAATTCCTATAACTTTTAGGGCATACTTCAGTTGGACGAATTCTTATAGCAGCAAACATTACACAATTAGTCGGAGCAGACTTCGGTCTTGTAGGGTAAAACTTATTGTTCTAATGACATTATTTTCGTAGTCACTGTTTACTTTATACCTTATTTTCTTACTAGACGTTCACTGCATATTATGGTTTTATACCAACCATTGAAGTACGAGGGTATCTGCATTCATGTGAAACGTTTTCTATATCCAGAACAAAGATTTGGATATTCCGTAAAGTAAAAATTATACATTCTTTTGAAGGCGGGGTCAACCCCGATTTTTTTTTTTTAAGATATAAGTGGACATACAAAAAAGGTTTAGCAACAACCCAATATAACTTTGTAACTTGTTTATAGTTTGTTTTTGTTCATAAAGAATATTTATTATTTGTTTTATAAAGTGGGTAATTCAGTGATTGTTGCTTTTAAGAAATATGTAGTTAAACATCTACTATTCAATCAAATTAAGAGATTTCATAATATGCAGTAGATAACTAATGCGTTAACAACTAAAATAAGTTGTATTAAGTGTTTGCAAAAATTTTGATCAGTGACTTCTACAGCTAAAAATTATAAAGATATGGGAAATATCAGCGTACATGACGGTTAAATTCGGTTGAAACGCTTGACCTACCTCTGGATAAATCAAAACGAGTTCTTTTGACATGATATCCCAACGCTTTCAAAAGTGTTGTAAGATGTTGTAGAAAATGATGGAAACTATTTTGATCAATATATATTGTACCAATTTTTCACGATAAATCACTTTTTTAAGTGAGAAGGTGATCAACATTTTTGCAAACACCTAATATTTGCCCAATACATCGGAAATTCTACTGGTTTTGTATAGAGAAGAAGAAAATTGATGGAATCATTCGTCTGTTCGAGTACACCACGCACTTGCAACAATTTTTATAATCAATGCAATTCATTATAAAATAAACACAGTTTTGCTCTACAGATGAGTCGTATACTTTGTTCCATTTTTACTACTAAACGGTTTGTCCATTGATAATTCTTAAAAATTATTAAAGAATTTTTTTTGTGTCTTAAATGGTTTACTGATTGACAACGTATTCATGTTCTTAGATAGTACTCAATATTGGCCAATATTATAAATAAAGCCCTTTTAAAATTTATGAATTTCTTTAAAGTACCTGTTTGTGTGGTTTTGTGGTTAGTACTTAGAATTGATATTTGGCGGCTTAAAATAGAGGCAGTCAATTTTTTATCTGAATAATTTCACTCTACTTGCAAAGCGCAAGTAGAGCATCAATTATTTCGCGTCACTTCAATAATGTCCACGTGTACTTTGGATCGCTTGCTATTACTATTCAAAGTTATAGTTCTTATTGCGCACTGTAGGTTCATCTCCAAGATGTAATCATAGCTTAGATGGCTTTTCTCAAAATCCTCATTATTTGTCAAAACATTAATCGTTGGCTATCCACAACATGAAGTAGAAATCTTTATCCACTTTGGGGTTAGTCTCGGACAAATTGCAACAAACTAGTTGGTCTGTCCATGGAAATTTTCCTCGTAACAAAAATCTTGAAAAAGTTCAGGTCAAATGTTCTCAATTCTGCCATGTAACATCAATTGTTTGATTAAAGCTTCAGGGTACGCTTTTATATTTATTTACTTCAGTTAATAATCATGGCTGCATATGAAACCTTATGGACGCACCTGGTTACTCTCGATCCCCTGATAGTACCTTTATAGTTCTCTAATGCAGGCCTATCAAGTGCGGTAAACTGTGCTTCATTAAATTCATACGACCAACGCTTTATGAATAGCTTTCTTATTATTTGAACAATTACAGTACACCGGTCTGAATCATTGGTGATATAGTTGCCAATATAAGCACTTGTGAGGGCAAGTGCCCGTAACCTGTTGCTGGGGTAGCTCAGCGGCTCCAGGTTTTCACAAGAAATTTATTTGTATGTTTTATTTAATTTCCCTTTATGATTCCTTTGCGGGTTAAAATTGCTTCTGTTTCTTTGTTTTATAATTTCAAACATCATTTGACAAATTCTATGAGAATTCAAGAATTCGAATGATCGCTTATTTTGTTTCTATTCAATCTCTTATGACAATTCTTAAACTTCAAATTTTAATTCTCGTTCTTGATTAGTAAACCATAGAAGATGACTTTTTCCTTTTCTTGTTTAAATATATATACATTTTTCTTACTTTAAGACCCAGCACTACCATCATTTTAACCACGCCAACCGAACCGAGACGTCCTCTCGTTAACGCTCCCCGCGGCTGACTCTCTCCCTAACTTAACTTCCAACTTTCCTAAACCTCGGATTCTTGTTCACTCTCTTCGCTCTGCTTAATCCTAACTTACTCTACTTAATTTCTAGCTTACTCTAGCAGCGCCTCCTCAGCGCTTACGGCGGCTGGACCACCCTTATCATATCGAGAAGATTAGGCAATGAAATTGTTGTAGTTGTCCGTCAGGTTTTGGTTTAATAATTTTCCTAGTTTTGGGGTAGTCGAAAATATCGCGTTGAGAGGTTTTACTTAAATAGCTGCGACATCTGCACTTGTACATGCCTTAACTTTGTCCATGCCCAGCACGCGAAGGATTCACTTCAAAACACACCGGATTGTTTTTAAAGGAACTTGCGAGACGACATTAACGTATATGCGAATGAAATTCCGAACATGTATTTCGATGTCTTTTCTTTTGTAAAGTTGTCTGTTTATTGGAAATAAAATGAAATTACATCCATCAAAGGCTGTGAACAAGCATCTTCATGCCGAAAAAGAATATTCTCAAGATATGCGGCAAATCAAGCCATGGAAAAAGGTATCGGGACTACCGATATTACCGCCACATCTATTGCAAGTTATACTTAACAAAGACACGCCAGATATTGGTGAGTAATGAGACAGGATATATAGGATATATAATATAAGAACAAATTAAAAAGGACAGTCGTTTTTGAAGAAATATTAAAATATTAAAAAGGAGTAGAAGATGAAAATTAAGCAATTTCTCTATCAACAATTGGAAAGCGAAAGAGTGTTAATATCTTGTCTGATCATTTAAAATTGCAATACTACAGAAAAGGTGATTTCTATATTTTATATTTTTGCATTTGGTTTTATTTATTTAAATTATGTAAAAATTTTATTTTTCTTAAGGAATTTGTTGTGGTTTCTACCTTTTCTCATAGTACACGATTTACACTTGCGTCCTTTGCTATTCATTATTTAATGTGTACGCCATATAATAAATCTTATTATCTTACTTCGTTTGAACATAGTTTTGATCATGAGGATGTACCGCTTCTTTAAACTGCTTTTGTTGTTGAGAAGGTATCAAAAGCTATAAATAAGTGATGCCAAATAATATAAATCCTACTAGCCGTCCAAATCGAGGAAAAAATTAGCACTACTGAGGCAATTGTAGTTTGTAAACTAATGTCGCAAAATTTTAAAAGATTTCGTCTATAAGTTGGTGGTAAGGTAAAATTATATAACGTCGCCAACAATGGCGACATCTACATATCACGCTACGTACTTATTAAACATAATGTTATAAATTAACGCGCTAACGAAATTTATCTAAAGTCTCACCAACTCTATCGCGTTTGCGCGTAATTCAACATTAACAGATTAAAAAAGTAGGTTCGCAGTTGCTCGCAGATTGACTGATCATTCAACAAAGTTTTAATCGGTATCCGCGGTATCTATAAACCTCAATTTTGCTTTGATCGTGAATTTAATATTATCAGTAAAGTAATGTTTATTTATTTCCAAACAACCCTTAACAAGCTTCTAAAAGGTTGTACGCAGAAAGAATCTACGGGAAGTTAAATACATATGAAAACTATTTTCCTTCGCCACTAAACATATGGTGCAAAACAATGTAAAAAAAATAATAATTATAAACAAAAAACTCCTCCCTGTTTTTATCTTTACGAAATTAATCGTTTTGTCAGCCGAACCGGTCTTTTAATTATCATACAATTTGTCACACCTTATTCTTGTCTATGAGATTTGGCGTATTAGCAAGAAAAAATTTATTAAAAAAGATTTTATTTAGTTAAAATGTTTTAATGAATTTCTTTCAAATTTTGTGTATGAACCTAAAGAACAGAGGGTCAAGAAAAAAAACACTTCAAGTCAAAGAGCTCTCTATAATATGTATAAAACAGAGTAATTATAATGTCAATCCTTGCCTGTATGCTAAGCTTTGCTTCCTGCAATTAAAAATCGTAAAAAATGCAAACATTTGAAAAGAAAAATATACGCTTTTCCTCTTCATTTGCTTACATTACAACGAAATTGTCAAAAGTGGAAAAATGTGCAAAAAAATAACGTAAACAATAGTTTTTTAGGTTAGACGAAACCTGTCCTAATAAATTCAGAATACTAGTAAAATTTATCTGAAAGCAGCTTGTATTTACGTAAGCATTAAAAAGTATGCTTCAAAAATTTTTATATTGAGCACCAGTCCCTTGTTGTCAGTTTCCACGCATTCATTACAATACTAACCAAGTCGTTTTATTTCTTGTTCTTTCTTTTCATTTCTAACATTCATAAGTTCGTTTTTGTTGTTCTCCTTTTATTCGTTATCCTTCTAATATTATTATTATTATTATTATCATTATTATTATTATTATAGTTTTTTCCGTACCAACTTTAGCAGCAATCAAAGAGTCAGCCATATTTATTAAAACTATTCAGTCAAATATGTTTCTTTACTTTCTTTTTTTTCTCGCATATCTGCTATTGTCCCTTATCTGCGGTTACTTATTTTATTCAAATAAACATAAAAAATGTAGCTGGTGGTATTAATAATCAAGGCAACAGCATCAGCAGCAGCGGCGGCAACAACATACACGATTTGGATACAAACAGTATCAACAGTTTACCACCAGAGACTACAAATAACGGGAAAACCGCAGGCAACGAAGTCTTAATCATGAATGCCAACAATGATGACAGAACGGCGAGCTTCTTTGCTCAGCCAGGGATATTGGCAGGTAAGAATAAAAATACGTAGCATTTACAATATAAATAAATAAATAAAGATATTACGTATTTTTATGAAGACGATGTGTTCAGCGTAAAAAATGTTTTATTGTCATTGATTGCACAGTTTTGCAAAGAAAATAAACAAAAAAAAAAAAAAGGAAACTGAAGAATACAAGGTTTAGCTATCATCTAGTAGTCTAAATAAATAGAGCTGTAGTGAATTTGAAAAGCAACATATTTTAAAAAGTTGTATCCAATGAAATGAATGAAAATACACATAAGCAACAAATTTTTCTTTGAATCAAAACAAAATCAAGTCGTTTGCGTCTGAAAATGACCAAAATTCAAGTGGTTTGTATCCAAAAATTACCGAAAATCACGGCGCATGTGTCTGAAAATGACCAAAATACATATATTTTTTAATAAAAGTAAACAAAAGGACAGAAAAATATGCTAAATGGTTACGTACAAATGATAGGAGGCATCTTCGACATAACCGATACATGATAAGTAAATTTAAAAAAATTTTTAAGGGCCTTTCTTACGGCCTTATTAAACGAAGCAGCTTAAATATTCTATGAAGCAGATAAGAAGCCCAACTAACAACTAACAACTATTAAAAAATTATGTGAAAACGCCAGTAGTAACTAGGTTACGGTGAGAACAGCTCCTTAGATAGATATAACGAAAACGTTATTCTAACAGAAACATGCAGTATGTGCACGATATAATCGAAATAAAAAGTTTATTAAGTGACAACATTTGCTTTTGAATTTGTTATTGTACTTATTTTGTTGCAGAAATCATTGACAACAGACATTTTTGTTTCTTTTAGCTGTCATCGGCGGTAGTGTTGTAGGTCTACTATTTGCCATTTTAATAGTGATGTTCATAGTGTATCGTATGAGGAAAAAAGATGAAGGCTCCTATGCTTTGGACGAGCCTAAACGGTCACCTGCTGTTAATTCTTATGCGAAAAATGCCACGAATCGTGAATTCTATGCCTGAGATAATGAGTATCGTTATTAAAATAGCGAAGAATAAAGAGAAAAACACACACAGGAGATAGTTCCAACAAAAATCAACCAAACACACAACGTTACTTTGAGTGTATATCTGATCAGTAAGTAATTAATTGTAAAGGGGAAAAAATATTAGAATGTACATGAAAGTCAGTAGACAACACATCTGTATACTCAACCGACAAAATGAACGATTTTTTCGTTTTGTTTTAACATATTTTCAAATGCGTATATTGAATTAAAAAAAAAAAAAATTAATAAAAAAAACCAAATTAATAAAACAAAACCAATATATACATATTCAAATTGTAAACAATAAAAAAGATTATTAGATATCGTCGATAGCATGTATGTATGTGTGTACATTTAGAGCATTTACACTTCAAAACTAAAACGATAAAAATATTAAATATTTTGTAATGGTAAGCTTATAAAAGAGGAAGAGAGAAGGAAACTTTTTCTCTCGAAATTTGATAAAATAAATTATTATAACTATAATTATTATTATGAAAAGGAATAATAATAGTATAATATAAAAAATGAACAAAATTAAAACGTCTAATTTAAGTCATCATTGGAGGTTAAATTCATTTAAATTTTAACACTTAGTATAATTCTTTAAAAAAAAATATTTAAATTAACAAACTGAGAAAAAGAATTTTATTTATTAAGTCCTCTTAAGAAAACACGTAGACTTAAAGTAATCGGAAACAAAAGCAACAATTGTAAGAATTATTTAGGAGGAGCGAAGCTAAGTAGCTTTTAAAATAATAAGATGAGAACATTTTTTAAGCCTAGAGAAACATTGTGTTGAATAAACATTTACAAAAACTAATTTATAAACAGTTCTTTTTATATAGAAATATTAAACCATAAATTGTGTTATTTTTTTTTTTTAAAGTGTGGGTCTCCTAAAATAACCCTCAAAGGCTTTAAAGGATTGGTTTCCTTTTACACATTTCACTCCTGCGATGTGAAACAGAATTCACTAAATTTTGTCCATAGCTCAGAGAATATATTAACATTGTCAAGTCTTTTCGAGGACTGAAGATATGCAGTTATCCCCTTAAGTGGTATACCGTGGGAACCAAACATAGGTTTCACATTACTGGCGGGAACAGTGTTATGTAATTGAAACGGTCCAAATAAATCCGTAAAATATTGTTCCACGTATTTCTGCTATGCCAAATAGCTTTCTGAAAACACATATAAAAAATTTTTTTACAAAATCAAATTTTTTTAACAACGATACCTTATTAGAAAAATACATTTTAGTTCAATCACTTAATGCACAAAAAAATGTAAACATGTCAGTTTGTCTTCTTTAAAATTCTCAATACGAAAAATAATATAAAAAACTAAAACATGGTACATAAGCTGTTATGTGATCTTCCAAGGTCAATTGTGAAGCTAATCATATAGGCCACAATAAGCAAAGGTAAAAATTGGCAAGGAACATTAAAAATTTTAATGTAAAAATTGCAATTTAACACAAATTTTTGTATAAAATACGAACTTAAAAGTTGTATTACAAATCTAACCGCAAACTAAAAGAAAAATTGTAATTGTAGATGATAGGTATCACAGGGACGCCCAAAACCAGATAAGCCCTCTTTTTTTTGTTTTTCTTGATATTATTGGTTGTGGACTTTGTACAAGTTTCTTACGAAAGAATTAAGTACGATAACAGCCAGGATTTTTTTCAGTTAATTCGCCTGAGTTTTGATACATCTACTTTGTGTTTTGTAACACTTTGATTACCAAACAAATTTTATGCTTACTCTTAAAGCTTATTGATAATTTTATCTTATCAGATATATGTATGTATGAATATGTGTATTTATGTATTTTGTACGCATTTAATTTGGAAATGTTTAAGCCTCTATTAATTAATTTACTATTTTTGTTATATAAAATAGAAACAAATCTTAATAAAAACACCACAGTAACACAAATATAAAGAAACTTCTATTCGATATAGAAAAACGAACTTTTCGTACTAAAAAGATACACAAATAAAGAACTTGGCCATAGATATATGTGTGTACGTATGTATGAGTAGTTTGCAATGCATTTAAGAAATGCGCTTCGCAAAGGGAGTGAATGTGTGCTAAATGGAGAAGTGTAGAGAGTAACTAATGGAGTTGTTTAAGAAAAGAAGAGTATATATAAACAGCTCAAACACAAATAGTAGGTGAATTAGAATATAAACAAAAAGAAATTATAGGATTTCTATAGAGAAAAATTGGCAAACAAACAAAACACAGTCGAACGCAATGAAGGTTTTCAAGACAGGATGACATCTAACTGCACTAACGTATATCCCTTTTTTTATGAATTATTATCCAACACAGAGGTAGGTTACTTCATTTATAATCACTCATTTCAAATATCTCACGAGGCATATATTTATTCCTCATCAAAACGAAACTCAAGCTATGTGCGTCGGTTTGTTCCTCTGTTAATGAAACTCTCAAAATTACGACAAATTGCTGATTACTGTTAAAAAGAAGAAGTATTTTAAAATATAGTCGTGTAGGGTCATTTTAACTATTGAAGAGATTAATTCAATCAATGCTTAGTTAAATTATTTATGATCTCCATTAAAATATCGGTGTGAGAATAGTTGACAGCACGATGGGCTGGGTATGCACAATTTGGCATGGCGATCATGTTAATTCCCTGCTTTTCCTTTTTATTTTTCCTAAGACTATTTCAAAAGAAACGCCACGTGTTGACAGAGATTTTCACTTATAAAAACTACAAAACGTATGCAAGCACTTAAGCAGTATTTGCTGCAGATAAAAATAAAAATGGAATCAATTAAACAAAAATAAACCAAAAATGATATAAATAAACAATAATTGCTGCATTTCTTTGCCATAAAAATATAAATTTTCATTATACTTTTTTTTCGGTGTGCAAGCCTCTAAAAAGAAACTTGTTTGGGTTATATTTATACTAATGACGAATAATGGTGATGATGACTTTTATAAATAATTTACTCCAGTTATGTATAAATATATATATGCTATGAGATATGTATATGAGTAATACATAAAGATATTCATTAAACATGACAACCAAACATTATAAAATAAAATAAAAAGCAAAGAAATGGAAAAAGTGTAACTTAATTAAATATTGAATTAAATTTTTTTTTTTTTTTTAAATATTGAATTTTTTTTGAACAGCATATTTAACTTATGACTCTCACTATTGTCGGGTTATTTAACTACTAATATATAGCTTTTACAATTTTTAGGGGACTGAAGGTATTTAATTGTATAAGCTATCAAAATGCCCTTTTGGCGTTGCACGTTTTCGGTGGGGGAAATAGAAATAGAGAAAAGTAAAAGAAAGGGTGCGAGAAGTTTAGAGACCGGGAGATGAATTAAAAACATTCTCTAAAGTAAAGGAAGGAAAGTCAGGGGAAGGTAGATTTAGCGGGGTCTTCGAATCCAGCTTGGGGTTTCCAATAAAAATCAAGGATCGAAGGAAACTAATGGGTAGAGCGCTTAATAAAGGCGCAGGACTTACATCCTCCTTTCCGTTAAACGGTAAGTACGTGCTACTTGGAGAAAAAGAAATCCATTATTTTTTTATGAACTTCAGGACTTTATTTAACATGCTTCGGATTGTCCGATTTGGGTTAAATATGCACCGTTTTGTTGTATGATTTGTTGCCATTTTAAAGGTAACTTCAAAATGCCTCTCTCATAGAAGTCCTGGTCTCTATTTGCAAAAAACTCTAGTAGTCAATTTCTTATCATTAAAGAAATTTTGCAATGCAAGAAAAAGATGATAATCGCTTGGTGCCAAGTCCGTATGGCGGATGCATTAAAACTTCCCAACCAAGCTCCCGAAGTTTCTGGCGAGTCACTGTAGATGTGTGTGGCCTAGCGTTGTCCTGGTGGAACACGACACCTCTCCTGTTGGCCAATTCTGGCCGTTTCTGGTCAATCGCTATCTTCAAACGGTCCAGTTGTTGACAGTAGAGATCAGAATTTAACGTTTGGTCATATGGAAGCAACTCATAATAAATAATCCCCTCCCAGTCCCACCAAATGCATAGCAAAACCTTCCTGGCCGTTTGAGGTGCTTCACCGCTCTTTGACTACGATCGTTTTCGCACAGGGTTATCGTATGTGATCCATTTCTCATCTCCAGTCACCATCCGTTTAAGAAATGGGTCTATCTCATTCCGTTTGGCCAAGGCTTCGCAGATGGAAATTCGATCCATCATGTTTTTTTCTGTTAATTGGTGTGGCACACAAACATCGAGCTTCTTTTTGAATCCATCTTTGTGTAAATGGCTTAAAACTGTTTTATGGTCGATTTTTAGCTCCTGTGCGAGGTGCATCTTTAATATCAAAAATTCCTGAACGGAATCTACGAAACCAAAATTGCACATAATTGGCTGTTACATAAACACCATTCACAATTTTAGCCGCCTGGCTTGCATTTTCGCCTTTGTCAAAGAAAAACTGTAAAATGTACCGAATTTTCTCTTTGTTCACTTCCATTTTTAACACGCTGTAACTCACAACTGAATGCACCAAACAAAAAACAGCAAAAGAATTTTTTTTACTGCGAAATGTCACCTTTCCAACGAGCATAAATCTGAAATTGTTTGATCGATACTACTACGAGAAATCTATCAGTGAAGCCATCTACCGAAAAAAGAATGGATTTCTTTTTCCCCAAACTAATATTTATTTATTTATTTTATTAATGGTGGCTTAATAAAACCCCTTGAAAGAGATATTTATAATACTTATTTTTCTACAATTATTTGTAAAAATAAACTATAAAACAGACTGATAACGGATTAAGAGATAGCACAAACGTTTATTTATAATAACCTTTAACAGCCGTATGTTCCACGAGGCTGCGAATGGCGGCAAAAGTCTCCTGTGCGGTAGGCAAAATTTCTTTTGCGAGGGATGAGCAGAAACATGTCCTCACCTGTCCATCATTCAATTCAGTCTGTTGTATTCTGTTGCGCTAATTCAAACCTCAAAGCACCCCAAAGATAAAAACGATGAAAATGAGAAATGCTTATCTGAAGTTTTGAAGTCAATATAAAACTGTTATTGCAAGCTCTTTATGAAAAGTGAAGCG